CACTTTTTTCAATGTTGTAACCTTGAACAGTCACTAAATGAATGGCTGTAAAATGAGGACTACCTGTATATATTGTACTGCAGTGCAATAGAGTACTGCTTTATTTTATTTATTTGCCAAATTTATATGGTTGCCCATTTCACAAAACAAATTACTCTCAGAAATGTACAACAATCTAAAAAATAGTCAATAATAATAATTGCAAAAAGCAGCTTTACTTAGAATAGCTTATATTCTGCAATGATACCACTAACACTATCAAATAGCAACATCTGCCTATCCCAGGTCCTTGGTAAGGACTCAATAGATGGATAAAAATGCTAATTTCAATCTGAGTATCTGGCTGACTGTATGACAAAACATAAATACCATCTGAAATAGAATTGCTATTCAACACTGTCTGTATATAGAGCCAAGATATTGCAATGGAGTTTGGACTGGACAAAAGTGCATGCTTACCATCAAATGGGGAAAAATAGTGAAAACTTTAGGAATCAAGATGCCCTATGGAAATAACATCAGGAGTCTGGATGAAGATCACTACAAATATGTGGGCATCCTTCAAGGTGACAACATCAAGCATACCAAGTCAAGAAAAAGGTTAGAAATGAATACATCAAGAAAGTGAGAACGATCTTAGAATCCAAACTAGTGGAACAAATACTGTCAAGACAATTAATACCTGGGCGATTCCAGTCCTTAGATACACATCTGAAATAGTAAAATGGACTCAAGCATAACTAAAAGCCCTGGATAGGAAGACCAGGAAAATAATAATAATGAATCATGCCCTTCATCCATGCAGCAATGTTGACAGACTCTACTGTCAAGGAAAATAAGTGGGCATGGAATGTTGCAAGTACATCAGATGGTTGAAGAACAACAAAAAAGGGCCATTGAAGAATACCTGAAGAACAGTGAAGAAGATGCACTGAAGCTAGTATACCAGGAAGGCCTACTGAGTACTGAAGAGACCAAGCTGGCCTACAAAAACAGACCAAATGGAGAACAGAAAAGAGACACAGGAAGACAAAGCATTACATAACCAATACATTAAAAAATAGCAAGGGAAACAGATAATAGCAAGACCCAACAATGGCTAAGACCAGGAAAGTTGAAGAAAGCGACTGAGGGACTAATTTTTGCTGCACAAGATCAAGTCTTAAGAACAAGGCCCGGAGAAAAAACAAATAAAGAATATTTATAAACACCTGTTGGAACATAAGCTATATGAGGAGCAGGTTAAAGAAACAATGGTGACATGGGCAATAGATCTAGGATATAATATAAATATGGATCAATGGCAGCAAGTATGGGAGTGAAATAACAAAATCACAGTGGCGACATCATATAAAGAAAACCTGTATAAGATAGTTTACAGATGGTATCTCCCTCCGGCCAGATTAGCCAAAATGTATAACGGATATTCATCTGTGTGTTGGAAATGTAAAAAAGAAAAGGGCACCTTTTTCATGTATGGTGGACATGTAGAGAAGCACAAGGTGTACTGGCATATAGTCTGGGACTGGGCAATAGAAATGACTAGGGAAAACATTCAATACAAACCGGAGACATTACTATTAGGAATACTATAGAAAAATGTAAATAAAGAGGACACATATTTAATTATCCATGTGGTCACAGCAGCAAGGATAACATTTGCTCAAAAGTGGAAAGCAATGGAAGTACCTAGCGGGGAAGCACTAATAAAGAAAATTATGTATTGCGCAGAACTACATAGGATAACTAAAAGATTAAAAAATCAGGAAGAAACAGAATTTTATCGAATATGGAATAAATTTTATAGATGGAGGGGAAAAATGGAGGTCACAGTAAAGAGATAAACTGAGATAGAGACTAGAAATGTATAGTTGTATATAGGTATATTATATGTAATTAATGTACAATATGGACTGAGATGTCAGTCAAAGACGATTTACCATGTTCAATGTTTTTAATCCTTTCTTTTCTTTGTACTTAATAAAAATTTAAAAAAAAAAATAGCAAGGGAAACAGATAATAGCAAGACCCAACAATGGCTAAGACCAGGAAAGTTGAAGAAAGCGACCAAGGGACTAATTTTTGCTGCACAAGATCAAGTCTTAAGAACAAATGCATACAAAGCCAGAATTGAAAAATTAGCAACAGATAGCAAGTGTCGCCTCTGCAAAGAAGCTAAAGAACCAGTGGATCACCTGATTAGCTGCTGCAAGGAGATTGCACAGACTGATACAAACAACACCATGACAAAGTAGCAACAATAGTGCGTTGGAAGATCTGCTAGAAATACTATTAGTCTCCAAGCAAGAACCAGTGGGAACATAAAATAGAGAAATAGAAAATGAAGGAACTAAAGTGTTCTGGGACTTTAGAATTCAAACAAACAGGCATCTGTCACATAATAGGCACCTGTGACTTAACAACTGTCAATAAGAAAGACAAAGAAGTCTGGACGCCAGCAATTTATAAGATAAATATGTCCAGCATTTTTTCAGTTAAGTGCCTAATTTCATTGATTTCCAATAGATTAAGCAGCTTAACTAAAATGTATACAGATACATCATTTATTTTAATATGTGGTTCTTTCAATGGTCACAAAAACTAGCTTTTGGATTATTATGTCCGAGAATATATTGGCTATAGTTTTTGCTAAATGTGGATATTCCACATCTGTTGAACACATATTTCCATACTGTGAATTCCATGTCTATTGCCTCAGTTCACACTAACATGTGAGTCTTTTAAGTATATGTCACAATTCAATCTGTACTATTTTACTCACTTCTTTCTTTCATTTCTTGCAGTTTATAGGTGTCATTTTCAAATAAGTATTTTCAAGATTTTTGCAATTCTGCATTGCCATCAGAAATTCCTTACCACAAGTCATTATTACGATCCATGCATTTCAGCTTTTCTCAGAGCAGGCACTGGATACGCCTTACTGCAGGTCATGACACATGTCCATACAGTCAGAGAATTAATATATAATCTCTCCTACCCCCAGGTAGCTTCTAATTTCTAAATCTTAGAGGTTCAAACCAAGATATCAAATATAATGCAACTGAAGAGCTTATTGTTCAAGAGAAAGGATGTAAGATTATTTAAGATCAGGAGAAATATTATCTTGCCCAACTGGCAATATATTGATAGTATCACTAAATGCCAACTGAATTTAAGTGTTTATCAGTATATACAGTGTTTAACTATGGCTTTTTGAGGTTTTAGGTATTAGCCTACATACTTCTGAGATTTATACTAGAAACAAATCTTTGCCTATTAAGTGGATAAATTTATTAATAAAGCAGATACGGGGAAAGGGAGGACTAATACTTAGCAACAAAATTAATCCCATATTCTTTCTAATGCTGACCATTTTTTCATTTTAATTAATTTGGAAACAATATTTAGCATGGTCTATATTTTATATACTACAGCAGCTTGTTCAGAACTGTATTCTTGAAAGTTCATTGTCTTGACTTCAAATTATTTTGTGTTTGTGTGTGTGAAAAAGAGATGCCTCCTTTTTCATTCAAGCTAATTTCTTAAAGAACTAATATTATCTTGAAAAAACAGAAAAGATAAATACAACCAGAATTGAGGCATGATTCTTGATGAGATATTCTGAAAGATTTTTTTACCAAGACAAAGGGAATACATTTAACATTTCCTTAATGGCATGTCAAAAAAAGAAGGGGAAGGGGAAGAGTGAGAGATCTCAAAAGGCATCATGTTCCAGTTAAAATATGTATCAGAAAAAGGATTTTAATTGAATAATACTTTACTAAGCTGGATAATAACATTCACTATTTCAGTTTTAGTGACAGATCTTTATTAAGGATAGAAATCAAACATACAATATTCTCACTTAAATTCCAAAAGTACAGCATTCATAACCTTGAAAACAAGAGATCCACTTTTTAAAAAAATAGAAAAGCAGAAACAAGGTAAGTTTGCTCATGGACAATTTTGTTTAATCACTGCCTAAGTGATTAAATATATAAGATGCTTATGGAACAGGATGAGAAGCTGTCTCCAGTGTATTTGTAATGTCACTGTACATACATCAGGGCAGCATGCAAGCTTGTGATAGAAACTTGTCAGTTCTCATTTCCTTGTATTTAGGAAACCAGCACATAATTCAGTGTAAATTTTTCATTGTTAAATAGTTCTGAAACAGTATTTCAGAACTCCTTTGTGAGAATATTAAGAAATATCCTTATTCTTCATGCATATTTAGACTACTTAAGATTTTTTTATAATGGAATAGCATGTTTCAGGAAGCATAAGCATGAGTAAGAAGTACTTTGCTAGAACTAGTCTGAAAACTAGCTTAGAGTTGTGACACACAAACTTCCTGAAAATGGAGGCTTTACCAAGTTGAAAAGATCCTCAGTGAATCACTCCAGCTCATTGCAAAATCTTGAACAATGCAAATGGTTGTGCAACTGCCAGTAGTCCTAAGTACAAGTTTTGTAGAGTTTGCTTGCCCATACTGAATACAAATATGGAATTGAAATAACCTTTTCAAATTAAGATTCAGATTTCATTTATACCACAATGACTAATTCAAGGAGGTAGGAGGAACAAAACAAAATTATCTGAAGTTAGCGAAATAAAATGGCTCATTCTTGAAAAACAGGTTCTCTTTGGGAAGAGTTTCTGGAAACATAAACTTCCCGATGACAGATAACAAGAGTCTTTGCTTTAAACAAGAAAGAACTTTATAATCTGCAAAAAACAGGCTGAAATGGGAACAAGTCGTTCCTTCCTTCTCCCATTAAGCCTGCAAAGCCTGTTCTACACTTAGAACACTTCCAGGTGCACGGAGACCGCCATCTCCTTACTGTTATTTCAACGTCCCCCATCGCTTCAAATTTCCGGGTGGTTCGCAAATGCCCCCCCCTCGTCTTCTCCCTTACACCCCCCCCCCCAGCCAAAACGGCCCCTCCTGGCTTCTGCTGCCCAAGGTTCCTTTGACCCATCCACAACTACCTTCCCACCTGTTTGGACTCTTCCTCTCTGCATCTCCTCTCATCCCCTGGCATCGCCGCCGCGCGTCTTTTCTTTTCTGGAAACTCTCGAGCCTCCACAGCCCGAAGGGCACCCTGTCTGCCCGCCCCGTTTCCGTTCTGTACACACACCTATTGCTGAGCGCTAGTCTTTCTTCTCCCGGAATTCCATTTCCCCGATCCAGTTGTTCCTCTCCGTTTCTTACGTCACAATCTCAGGGTTTTCCTTTTCCCTGACGGCACTTTTCCCTCAACGCGCCATTGGTTATGACCCTGAGCCAATGGTAGGAGATACGCCCCTCCCCCTCCCCTCCAACTGACTGTGCCGGTCAGGTCCGGCTCGGCACATACAGATTCCCCAGTCCCTGGGGATTGGGCGTCAGTTCAAAAGTGGGCGTGGAAAGAGATTGGGGGGGGGCAGGGAAACTCTCAAAGCACCAGGTGGCTCTGGGCTGGTCCCGTGAATCCGCGAGGAGGAGCTGGGCGGATTTAAAAGGGTAGGGCAGGCGCGGCTTGAAGGGCTCTGTGGAGAGGCGACTGATGTTCGCGGAGAACAATGAGCCGAGCTCCGGGGCCGCCTCTAGGACTACTGAATTTCCACATTAATTTTTTTCAGACGCGAAACGGCGAGATGTCCCTTCCTTGCAACTGCAGCTCCACCGCGAAAACAAGCGGGCACAAGCTCCCCGACGGCGGGCTTCCCACCCCAGAACACGCTCAAGCAGCTTCCGACCTCTCCGCCTCCGCTTGGATATCCCCTGCAGGAAGCAGCAAATGCTCCGCGTTTATGATCTGCTGTTCCGCCAATCGGGGGAAGCGTACGCCACCTAATGCAAGTGCAAAAGCCTCGGTCCTCTCCCAGCTCTTTGATGATCCACACAGAAAACCTCATCAGAAGCCCGTTCAGGAAATGGAGACCCCCTTCCTCCATCAATAACACAGGCAAGGACAGGGAGTCGCCCCCGCAAAGCAGCCGTCGGTCCCCTAAATAGTTCACCCACAGGAAGTGAGAAAACCCTTCATGTTGGCCGTCAGCGTTTCCCACAGGAAACTCGAGGCCTCTCTCAAAAGAGCTCGGCGTTAGCTGCTCGCCGGGCTGTTAACCATTTTGCTTGCTTGCGCCATTCTCCCGCAGCCTATTTCATTCGTAAGCGGGAACCAAAGAATTATTGAAGCTATGCGAAAAAGGAATTTACAGTGAGTTCTGCCTTGCCTTCAGGTGGCCAGCGACGGTGAAAAGGGTCGTTTCTGCTCCGTTTTTCAAGGAAGGAAAGGAGTTGAGCTGGAAGTGTTTGAAGTATTATAATCTACAAAAACAAAAAAACAAAGTGGCATTAACTCGGTACAGAGCTTTAGTTTACACCGCTCTTTTCCCTCTTTCAAATTCAATTGAATTTATTTTTGGAGGAGCACTGCTCCCCTAAAGTAAACTATTACACTAATACAAGACCGTAGTTCACCATTAGTATCCTCGAGTACTCGAGTTTTCTTGGTTTAAATGAGGTTTGTTTCATGTATAAAATGGACTAAATTCCCAGAACAAGGGGAAATGTTTTTGTAGGGCTACACTATGTAGACTGCAAACATTCCCAAGACTGCCAGACACAGCAAAGAGCTTTTTTTTTTATCCCTCGGTTTCCATCTAGTGGAAATGGCCATTCTGATTTTTGCCACACCTACAATAATTTGATATAGGATATTGTATCTAATTTGGCAGCATTTCATAGTAAAACATTTACAGACTACACAACAAACCATACAATATGGTGCAATTCTTTTTGTTTAATGTACTATGTATAAAAAAACTATGGTTTATACAGCTGTCCACATAAATACTATCTGGTTTACATTGCCAATTCAATATTTCTTCAATTGTGAAAAATCTGTGATTTTCTAGAATTTTCAGAATCTCTCATCCCTGATACTGACAGCTGACAGATGTCATTTAGCAACAACAAAAAACTCAGTTTTCCCTCAATTTAGATGGTTGTATGACAGAATATAGGACACTGACCAACTATATTTAAAGCTTAGTTGTCTGGATTCCGAATGTATTAATATGTAATTCAATGTGCCATGCATATCCAGAATACTGAAGAAACCATGATTCAGTTAAACACAAGTTACATGTTATGTGAACATAGCACATTCACAAAAGGAAGTGGTGGACTTGTTTGAAAGAGGTTCTAGATCAGTGGTTCTCAACCTGTGGGTCGGGACCCCATTTGGGGTCAAACGACCATTTCACGGGGGTCGCCAAACAAGACTGTCCGCCATTTTTTCCCTTTTCTTTGGCCATGCCCCTGGCACCCGGTGATGTATAAGTGGTTGAGGGTCATCACAACATGGGGAACTGTATTATGGGGTCGCGGCATTAGAAAGGTTGAGAACCACTGTTCTAGATGCTGCAGGCATTGCAAGAATAGTAACTTTACACCAGTGCTACGCAACCTTTTAGACACTAGGGATTGGTTTAATGGATAACAATTTTTACACTATAAATTTTTCCACTTGGACCTGTGGGGGGGGGAAACGGAGGAGCGCATAACCTGGATCTAGCACATGTGTAGTTTTGCTTGTCCACTGCTCATCTCCAGCTATGTGGCTTGGTTCCTAACTGGCCATGGAATGGTCTTGGTTTGCCTGGAGTTGGGTACCCCTGTTTTACACCACTGAAAAAACTTTGATTCATGCAATAATTTATTGATTTCACACACTTGTGCTTTTTTCTGAATGAAAAAAACACCTTGCAATATAAAATTACCAATACAGCAAGGATGGGAATAGATTAGTATGTACCATTACTGTTCCAATTCGTATCTGATCACTGACTTGAAAATGGTGTATCATTTCTCATGGCCTATGGCCAGAGACCAGTGCTGCAATCATTACAGAATATGTGAACATGATCCAAAATCTAAGTCCAGGAGGCCAAACTTTTGAGTCTGATAGGCCCATCTGAAATTTCAAAAGCTGTAAAGAACAAACATTCAAAACACAACAAAACACTTACTTCTAAAAAAGAATAATTCCTCAGAATCTGAAATTAGAAATCAAATCTGAGATTGATAACAAAAACCTATTCCTTTAATCCATTTTCTGTTTTAACAGAAGCAAATTTCAGAGAAAGATGCATAGGTGTATCCCAACAAACCCATTTCTTAAACCATAAGCCTTTTACCCTCTTAAACATTGATGCACTCACCTTTTTTTTAAAAAAGGAACAGAGTGCTTATTCTATACCAGAGGTGTCAAACTCACGTCACGTGATGTGTCCCAACCTATCGTGACTTTTTTGCCGGCAATGGGATGGGCAGAGTTTTGCTATGATGCATCCAGCCCACGGCCCTGCAGTTTGACACCCCTCTTCTATACTAATAATAGTATACCAATATGTTGTTACATTCATGGAAATATAACATCAGTAATTATTGTAGGCTATAACCTGATATGAAGTATAACATAATGAAAATGCTAAGTATTAATTGAACAATTGGAGAAGAATCCCAGATATTCCTGTCTCAAAATTCTGTTCATTCTGATAGTCCATGAAGTTTGTAATTTATCTGATGACAGCTTCAGTGCAAGCCTTCCCTTCTTTGTGCAAATAAGAGACAAATGCCAGATTCAGAAAACTAACAGAAAAATGCATTTCAATTGTCGTTTTTAAGTATTGATTTTTATCAGTCTAGGGTACTTATGAATATTGAATTGTGAAAGAAAAATATAGATCTCAGACACCTAAAACAATTTATATTGCTTTATTTGCTACACTTAAAGTACACCCTAATTATATTTCAGTTTCATTGCCTCCTGGTGTATTTTCTTGAGAAAATCATAGATTAAAGTAGCAAGGTGGTTTAATGGAAGAAAGAACCAACCAGTCCATAATTAAGAAATACTTTTACAATTCTTATTTATATTTGTGTCATGCAACTGAGGAATATATGTGAATGTATAATGTGAAAGTATAATGTGAAAGTTACAGAAAGAAATTTATGTTTTGTCTGCTAGGACAAAATATCTATTTCCAGTGTTTAAAGGCTTTAAAAATCTGCTTAAGGCCCATCTTCAATTATTACATTAAAAAAACTAAAATGTAATGGAACCTCTCAGCCTGACCTAAATGAGATTTTATCTTTCAAAATCCTCTTTATCTGAAATGTTTTTAGAAATACATAATTGCTTAATGGAACCACTTCCCCACCTAATTATTTTATTTTCTATGGACAAGTGTCAGCAAGGCAATCTTATTTAAAAAAAAAAAAAAAACCTCAGCTGCTAGAGCATGGAGAAAATAAACCTGACTCAGGCACTCCCACTATAGTTTAAGTAGGATAATATAGTGTTTCTTGCATTTGCCAAGAGTCAGTTCCTTTTTATCCACAATATTTTAACAGTTGTTTGTAAGAGGTCCAAAAATAATAAAATCCATCCCAAGAATAGAAGCGATAGATCCAATATATACTATTTTTGTCATGGTCTTGGCTTTGTTAAAGCATTTTAGTAGTTTTTATTAGCAACAATTTGGTTTCTTTCATGCATAGCAAACCTTGTACTGTAGACAGTTCATCAGCTGCTTGCATAGTACAGTACCATCATGGATTTATTTGCAAACTAAACTTCAATATCACAATAAAACAAACTACATTAACAAGGCTGCAAGGAAATTCTACACCTTAGTGAGAAAAAAACCTTTACCGTAAAGCAGGGCTGTCAAACTGCTGGCCTACAGGTCAGATGCATTACACTGAAGCCGCGCCCACCCCATTGCTGGCAATGCAAAGAGTCGTGATATGTCACAACATGTCACATAACGTGGTGAGTTTGATATCCGTGCCGTACAGGTAGTCCTCAACTGACAATCACAATTGAGTCCAAAATTTATGTTGCTCAGTGAGAAAATTGAGTTTTGCCCCATTTTCTGACTTTTCTTGCCACATTTGTTAAGTGAATCACTGCAGTTGTTAAATTAGTAACAAAGTTGTTAGGTGAATCTGGTTTCACCATTGATTTTGCTTGTCAGGTCACAAAAGGAGATCACATGGCTTTGGGACACTACAGCCATTCTGTCAGTTGTCAAGCATCCAAATATAAATCACATGATCATGTTACAAGTCATATGTGTGAAAAATGGTCATAAGTCACTTTTTTCAGTGCTATTGTAACTTCAAACAGTAACTAAGTGAACTGTTGTAAGTCGAGGACCACCTGTATTGTCTGAGTAAAAGATCAATAATTTCCATTCTAAATGAAAACATACTTCCATAAATGTAATTTAGCTTTCTTATTTGGCAATTTTTGAACTATTTGGAGTGCCTCATTTAAAAAAAAATACAAAAAACCCCCCAAGTAACTGATAAAGTTTAAACTTAAAAGCATGTTCTACTACGGTATATAAATATGTCAGGCACCATCCTTAAAGGGTACTCCCACAGTATTTACAATAAATGGAAAAAAGCACTGTGAAGACAATTTTTTTCAACATTTTATCCAGTTTTCCTAGTGATCATCCAGATCTCTGCACCAATTTCTATAGAGATTTAAACTTTTCTAGAAAAGTTCCATAAAATGTAGCAATTGCTAAGTATATATTAAAATACCTTATTCTATGAATGACCAACAGTAAGCAGATAGGGTACTTCCAATGCCTTATCAAAGTTTCTCTTTAATGCAAAGGTATTGTCAACACCTGTAACACTATGGCTGCTAAAGCATCATTTCCAATATAATTCTGTATTGTTTTTGAAATGGGATAGGAAGGGGAGAAAAAAGGGAAAAACAATGTTTGCTTGTAACAAAGGCAGAATGAGACTGACAGAGATGAAGCAGAATATAAATTTTGAACATATAAACAATACTTCATGTTTTAAGTAGCTTCCAAACATTATGGTATAAGTAACATGTATTGATCATTTCTCACTTTTGTGAGACACTGCATTAAGCAGTTAGATCTGTTACATTTGGAATTTGTACCATACAAACCCAGTGATTAGAAACAAGTAATACACACATATAATAGAAAATTCATAAATTTCTATTTCAAATATATATGTGTACTATATATATTAGAGAGAGAGAGAGAGAGAGAGAGAGAGAGAGAGAGAGAGCATATTAGGTGTGGTGTACAATACTAAAATGCCATATCCAATGAAAACATCACAAGACAATGTTGCTAGTAGGGCTCAGAAACTATTAGCGTAAGCAGCAGGAAAAATCCATATACTGTTGCTTAAAATGTTTGATGAAAAGAACAGGATTTAAAAGGTACAAATTCTCTATTTCAAATTATTCATCTTCAGAACTGCTCAATTTTTGCAAGGGAACACTGTACCTTAAGAGGGAAGAAAAACATCAGTTACAGAAAAGTATTTCAGTATGGAACAGCTGATTCATCACATACACATAAAAAACCCTCAATTTTCATGGCCAACAAACTCAGATCTTTTAAAGTATGAGTTTGTTATTACATTTATAGAAAATGTACACTGAATAGTACAATTGAGATCATGACAGAAGACAGCATCAGAGAAAAAACATCACTTACTAGTATTCTTATCATGAACAGTAGCCTGAAATCATGCATGCATATTCAACCTATAAAATCCTTGTTATTTGCATGCTGATTTTAGGTCTTGGGTCAATTCCACATATACTGGTGAATTCCCCGTTGTCCCTAACCCAGCATGGCAGATGAAGGGGATTTGCAGTTGAACTAAATGTGTATGTGTCACATATTTCTATCATTGACATACTCAGCCCTTTATAGACCAATGTTAAGCAGAACAAAGCAGTCCCTAATGAATAAAAGTAGGTAATCATATCCCCAAGAAATCGGTTTCATGATTGTCATGAAGCTAAAAGGCTTTTCTGGGCACCTTAGAATAGGTGGGCATCCTGTGGACAGCACAAAGCCAATTCAATATTTTTATTGCAGCTTCTAAAATCCCTCAGATCATATCACTGAAAATTGGTGCCAAGGTGCTGCACTTTCCATTACTAGTTAAAGGAAATATCAAAATCCAAGAAAAAGAGGTAAATTAAGGCTTGTGTAGAAAAGCTTTTTAGAAAAACTCACCCAATTAGCACACACACACATACACAAACATTCACCTTCACAAAGCCTGGACTCTGGCCCATCCAGTAGCACTGTTACTGTCCTAATTCCTATACTTGTGACTATCAAAAATGTGCAACTTTTGGACACAAATACTATTTGCTATATCTTTGTTTTAGAAGTGATATGATAAAAATGTAATAATTACATATATTGTTCAGTGACTGAATGTCTATCAAGAAGTTCTAACATTAAATTAGGTTAAAATTAAGAAATTAAATTATTTCCACTTCCTTTTGAATATATCCATATCATATTTTCTCTCTAAATTGGAAATGTTAGTTGGGTGATTTTTAAAAAAGTAATTAGCAATACTGTTGATTCAAGAATTTTCACTTAAAGTCCTATCCATCTTCCCTTGTTTAATATATGATTACCAAGAACTTATTGTGCACAGAGGAAAATAAATGAAAACTATGGAGAAAATGAAAATAAAATCACCATGGGGAGTGCAGCACTAAAGCATTTTCAATTTTGTCTTCAATCAAGTATTTGCAATCTGGCAATTTTATTGTCACACCTCCTTCACAATAGACAAGATGTTTACCATATTAAGATTACACGTTGCCACCAAAAAATAAAAATAAAAAGCCCAAACCAAAAGAAAACCAACTTTACACAGTTATTGTACATCTATGCTGAAAAACTGTCCTTGATGAAAAACATTTACCTATAAGTGAAGATGGAAATAAATTTACGATCAAACTCTTCATAATATACCACTTGGAGTTTCAATGTTTTCTCTGTTTTCATTCATAATATGTTTAACCTACACAATTAAGGCAAACAGCTAATCCATTTCTGAAGAGGTGTTATGGAAGTTGTGAGCAAATAGCAAACATTTGGCATTAAAATAGGTAACATATATGTAGCTTCTAATAATATACATAAAGCATTTTTGGGGAGTCAGGATTCTAGAATGACAAGACAACAAACATGCTAACATATCAATAAAGTTTAAAATTCAATATCTAAGCAATTTCTAATAATGCTTTGCACTTCCAAGCTCTATTGAATTTATGCAAATGCATTAAAGAATTATAGCTTGGCAAATACATCCAAGCAGGTGGTTAAACTATATATACAGAAAGTAAATGATAAATATAGGATTAAGAATCTCTTTTTTTTTTCAGAGCTGGAAATGGACAAAATTGAGGACAGTTCTACAATAGTAAACATTAGGTAACCACAGTAGCTGGGCCACCTAACTACACAAACCGAATAAAGTACTCAGATGACTTTGTAGTGTTTAATACAGTTCGTAGTCAAGGGCACAAGACAATATTTGACAAAAATAATCACAACAATGGATTTCAAAATGAAATGGAAATATAGATATGAATACAATCTCCAAAATCTGTATTTTAAGTGAACGTTAACCATTTATTCAAAGTTGTACAAGATTTGAAGAATAAAGTCTTCTGCAACATGATGCCATCTTACAATAATTTCATGTCATAGTTGAAACTGAGTGGAGAGAGGGAAGGATGAAAGTTAGTAGGTCTCATCAGGCAGCTAGGAAGTAAAAATAGGTTCAACAGCAGCCTCCACCAGCTTGTTGTCCTCCTTGATTGCCTGCAAGTGTTGCATTAGTAGCAGCATGCTGAGGGCCGATTTTAATGCCATTTGCCTGAAATAAAAGTGGAATGCACATTACTGATTTGAAACATTGACATGGAGTTTGAAAACATTCTATTTGTGATTTATGAACAAGTAAATTGTTTTCATGTTAAACAAGCTGTAATTATCATAAATTGTAATAAAAGAAATGATTTACTTATATTACTTCTATTTTTTAAGAATTTCAATACCAAAACTCAACAGTTTTCTACTACTATTATAAATTCATATTATACAAGCATTTACACATGAAACAGTTTGAATGCTTCATACCTAGAATTCCTCAACATTTCTAATAAACTGGTATTCACATCAAAAGAAAATTCCTAGTTCCATTGCTCTCACACAAATACTTTCTTCTTCTGAATGCAATTCTTTCTGTGTTGAGTCAGCTGTACAGGCTAAGGGCATACAAGTGTTCTGTGTCATCAATAATTTCTATGATCCCCAAAGACGTGGCAACTTGCCAAGAACCACACAGAAAGTAGTTCTTTCATTCATCAAACTCACACTTATATCTTAACCCTCACTCCCTCAAGTGGATTGTACCTAAAATACAGCACTTTAAGAAAAGTAATACAGTAGCTTCAGAAATTAAGCTCTTAAGGAAACTTTGCGTCACAGTAAATCTCCGATTTATAGTGCTTGGCAGTTGTTCTGCAACAGTAGTAGCCTTGGGGTTTCTGGCACTAGCTTAGTATTGACAGCAGCTGATGTGGTTTCTTTTTGCTCTTTGACTCCTCTTTAATAAAAAGCATGCCCTATGGCTCATTGGTTTTGCCCCCTTTGGGTGGTAGCAACTTTTTGAGGAATCAAGTAGTCAGAACTGGCACTGAGCCAAGTAAATAGCATGCACTGTTGGCTCCTGACAGCATATTGTAATCAAATCTTCATATGGCATTGTAAAGCAGTCAGATGCTGTATGAAACTTGACAGATACAACAAGCATACTTTTTCAAGAGCCATAATTGCTGTCCAATATATATACTATCAACTATAAACTAAAGAACATCTGGTATAAAGTTATTACGAGAAATCTGGGGAATGAATAAACAAATAAATAGAAAGAGATGCTATATTGTAAATTTCCCTTCCCATTTTAATTTGTTCATTCAATTTAAGCTATACTCACCATTCTAGTGAGTACTCACGGAAGCCTTAATTTTACTGGGCACACTGGCATACCTGATACTATGTTTGGGCCCTGAATTAACATACATTCAAGCCTTCATACGTAGGCACAGCTCTTTTATTTTATTCATTCATTCAAATGTGTTATATAATAATCAAACAGTGAAAGACACTTATGAGGTTGTGTGCCAAATGGTTTGTATGCCACTTGCCACAAAATATTGTATCTTAATAGACAAAATATGCTACGAGCTTCAAATATTTATAAATTATGAATTATATATTAATACAAAACTTTAAAAAAAGATGTACAACAGATTATAGACTAATACAGGGGAGATCCAGATTCCTGTCAAATATCTACCCAAATTCATCTCTCTCACACCCATCTGCATCACAGAGATGATGTGAAGAAAAATAGAAGGAAGGACCACTATGTATGCCATATTGAATTCCTGAACCAAAGGTAGAATAATAACAAATAACGAAAATAATAAAGAACTATAGACTAGGTGAAGGTCACATCTTATCAAGATTTTTGCCTTAACAATTAACCCTCATATTCTATCTCACAATATTTATCCAATAAGGGGAAAACAGGAAAATATACCTTCTTACTTATTATTTCATTTAATGAACAGAACTAATAGGACATACTCTCTACTCTAAAGATAAAATTCCTAGTACTTCTGGGTATACAAAAAGGATTTTAAAAGCTATACTTTTTAAAGCACTTAAAACTGCTAAAGAAATACGTTAGGCAGATTCAGGTTCTTTCTTTCTTTCTTTCTTTCTTTCTTTCTTTCTTTCTTTCTTTCTTTCTTTCTTTCTTTCTTTCTTTCTTTCTTTCTTTCTTTCTTTCCTTCCTTCCTTCCTTCCTTCCTTCCTTCCTTCCTTCCTTCCTTCCTTTCTCCTTCCTTCCTTAAGTTGCAACTTTCCATGCCATACCAAAAAGTTACAGTTTGTGACAAGATGTGATGTTCTCAAAATATATTCAAAACCTTACGATATATGAGACAAATTGTGTGATTCTTTGAATTCTAGCAACTAATTAATCAGCTGAGCCCACAGAGCTATACATTAAAACCACAGTCCATGGCATTTGTAGCCTATGGCAATCTGTCATTTTCAATTATAGAAATAGATTATGAGATATTATGGTATGTTTTTTGGAGAACACAGCATGCAACAATGCAACATTCATTCCTTAAAATATCTGGTCAAGGCTAGTGTATATACTTATTATCTTATATAGATATTATGGATGCATTCCTAATATTTATTTGGAAATAAATTCCATCATCATGTCTTCTAATACTGGTACTAGAAAGATTTCAATTTAAAATCTTACTTCAATAGTATTAAATAAATCTCAACTGGGCTGCCCACACAGATAAATAAAAGTGATTTTGAAAGATATCTTTGCCTTAAAAAAAGTAACTGCAACTTAAGTTTTTCTTTGGATGAATTAATGTTGATTCATGGATAAGGAGAGTCACTTTATAATCCATTTCAATTACAATACAATGCCATTCTGTTTTATCACCAAAGGCTGTCAAGATACTGTTCAGGAACTATGTGTTAAGCAAAATTAATTCTTAGAAGGGAGCAATTTTCAGAGCCAGATGTTGAGAAACCAGGAAAACAAAATAAATCTGGCCACCAAACCAAAGAGATTAAACAGACAGATATCCAGAGTAGTCTGACACTGAAGTGGGAAATTTCAGAATCTAAATTTATTTCAGAATCTAAATTTATACCAAGACTAAGCTAGGGCTAGGTATTAGGACCAAGATATTAACTTTATAGTTCTCATGAATTAGAAAACAAAATTTATATTCCCTGAGTAATGGCTACTTCTATGGTCTCACTACAGTTTATGAATTGGACTGTCTCTGGTTCTACAAAGCCTCTATAAAGTTCATTCTATTTCACTGTCCTATATTCTCTGAATCTGCACTCTCAGAAGTATTCTCTGTTTAGGCTATAAGAGAAATTCAAGAAAAAGAGAAATCTACCAAGAAAGATATAACACTCCACTCCTCAGGGACCACAGAATCCAATTCAGGTATGCACCAAGTTGGATTCTGTGGGCAACAGTTCGCTCTTGACTTATGACAATAGGGAAAATTCATTAAGTGGTGCAGTCATTAAGTAAAACATCATGTGACCATACCCGGTTTAATGATTTTTTTGATGCAATCATTAATTGAATCATCATGGTTGAGACTGTGATCTTCCCTGCAGGCTTCCCCCTTGACTTTGCTTGTTGGAAGCCAACTGGGATGATCACAAATGATGTTCATGAGACCATGGGATGCTGTGACCATCATAAATGCATGACAATTGTGGATGTAGACCATTTAGGTGTTCTAATGGGTCAGGTGTTGAGTCCCTCTTCAGAAGATGCAACCATTTAAAAAGCTCTTTTGATGGCAAGGAACTTGTTTCACTAAATGGTGTAGTTCTACACAGAGCAATTGATTTTTTTCAATTTGTAGGCAGTGAGGTATATTTGCCATACACCAAAAAACTGTTGGGATCTCCACCATAAAGCCTGTTTCAAGTGATAGAAACCTTTTGTAATGACTTCATCCCATTGAGAACTTTATCCAAGATCAAAGTAAACAAGAGATTGGTACTACCAGTCTAGAGAATTCAAGACTGAAATGGCAATAATAGGTGCAGCCTAACAATCATTGCACACCTCTATTGCACCAAAATCCCAGCCAAATAAAAATAGCTTCTATTTTGATAGAGGTCTACATTTCAGATGACAGTAGGTGTAGTTTATATTTCTCAAGTTTGGCAAACTAG